CAAGGCATAAATTTTATCAAATTTCAAAAAATATACATGTGTATATATATTAGTTTTCGAATTAATGCACACTCATTCAAAAACGAAGTATTTGTTTTTATATTTTTATTAAAGTAGCGAGGAAATTTGCATAATATTTGTCTTTGAATATTTGGCTCTCAATATTATGCAAATTTCATGGTTCTTAAACACCATTTGTTTCTCGTTTTTTATTTATTCCCAAAATTTGAACGTATCTGCAATCTCAATTTAATTTGGTAAGCAATATGCAAATCGTGAAACGAAGCGTGGTAGCGAAATGCTTAAACAATTGCAAGTTAATGTACACAGTTTCGCAGTTTGCATTCTATGGATACAGCTAACGCGTTGCCAGTAAATATTATTAGCAAAAACCGGCTCAGTGTAGAAAAAAAAAAATAGAACTAAAATGTTTACTTAAAGAGAATACCCAAAAGCTTGAGATTTTTGTGCAGATGTTTTCAAATTTAGTTGTAAAAAATAGATATGTATATTGATATACTATATTTGTATGTAGTAATGTTATTGCTTTAGATTTTATAACTTTCTTGTATCATATGTTCTTCTACTTAATTTTTTCCCTTCACATACATTCATTACATTCTTTATTTATTTTTTGCTTTGACCGTCGCTATCAGCTTTTGTATTTATTTTGCAAAAGCTTGCAGTTTTTTCTTATTAACTTTGACATTATCAACTTTTATAACAATATTAAAAAAATAATAATAATGCTTGCTTAAGAGGCGGCTGATTTTTTCTATACCACTACACCACATGGAAGAAGTTATCGATTTTAGTGCTTAAGTTCTAAAAATGTTGAGAGAAGATTCAAAATTATAAAAATATAAACGCTCATTAAACTGCCCTCCAAGTAAAAGCCCTCAAAGCCCTTAAAAATAAAAGAATTTAAAAAGAATATTCGCGTTAAGTCATTTGTTTACTCAACAACTCAACAACAAAATATAAACGTTGTGATTTAACATGTTTGAGTACGTGAAGTTGCAAAGCAGCGCACTGCAATACACTTGTTGCTATTTTTACACGCTGACAGGGACAAATATTTAGTGTTTTGCAAGTCATGGAAAGGCACACAACAGGCACGTACATATGTACATATGCAAATACTACATACATACAAAGTTTTCAGTAAAAACTTCTGTAATTAATAATGTAAATAAAAATAAGAGCTGTGTACTTATTACTGCATAACTGGATTTTAGGGTGGTACTGGGGATTCCGTACTGGAGCTTAAACTGGAACTGACATTGTAAAAGAGCATATGTAGATAGCGTTATAATATTATATAATCATATAAAATATAATTTGGCTGAAACAAAAATTGCACAAATTTTCGAAAAATAATAATTATCGTCAAAATTTTAAAAAAGAAACAATTTACAAATTAAAATTTTTTTTATTCTTAACAAATTTTCAAATTTTTACAAATTTTAATTTTTATATATTTTCATTTTTTGTTTTTTTAATTTTTACAAATTTTCAAAAATTTTTCTTAAGTAATGACATATCCAAAACCATAAATTAAGTCTGTTGCGGCAATACTGCACATTTCTTGAATCATTACTTGAGTAAAAGCAGGTGCCCCAAAAATTTGCTCATACGCCGTGTAGTCTATATCTATACCGAATCGCCGAACCCAATATAATTGCGTGACCGCATTTGAACTACTAAAAAGGTTTTCCAGAGCCTAAAAAATTAAAGAATTCAAAACAAGAAATAAAAAATTAAACTTCATTATTTATGTCGGCAGTAATTCAGTTTAAATTTTCAAATATTTAATTTGCAAAATGAAAATATCGAAATTTTCGCCACCACAGTGTCACACAGCTGTCAACTTGACAGGTTTACCAGCTGCATTTGCCCCTTTACTTGCGTAAGCAGTATAAATATAAAAGTATATTGAATGTAGCATAATTTGCTTTAAATAAATCTCACATTAATATTGCATATGAAAATAATTAAATGCGTGAATTTACAGATGTATGTATGCTTGAATGTCAGTCTGTGTCACAGCAAATTTTGTCAACTTTACAAAATTTATGCGTGCGATTAATTCATTAATAATATTTCCGCGAGTCGTAAACAATGCAAGTTAAAGAAAGAAAAGCTTATAAAGAAATTGATGCAATTTGCAGTTGCTTAATCATATTAATATAAATAATTGGTTTTACATACCTAATTTTACTAAAATTATTTATCATTGTTGCTTATTGTTATTGTTTTACTTTTGTTTTTAATTATGTTTATCATTATTATGCATACTAACTTGTACATAAATTATTTACTGTTATTGTTTTGCTATTTATTTATTATTATTGTTTACAACGCCATACATAAAATACTTTCCATGCAATATTAACATAAAGGGTTCTATTGAAGTATAAATAATAATAATTGTGGTTTAGACTGTAGACTTTGTACCAAAACGTTACCCAAAATAGTTCATGCAATGAAATTAAACAAAACAATAACGTCAACCTTTCGCAAACTGTCTGAATTTGACAGGCAGCCATCGCATTTCCAATATTTGCATGCCATTCGGTCAAGCGATAACGGCAAAAGCGCAGATGGTTGCCTGATTGCTTGACCATTTGTTTCCATTGCGCCATTGTGTGGCACTGAAGCAGCGCGGAATGTCGTGCAATAGTCAAAAAAGGCAATAAAACTAAAGCAACCGTATCGAAATAATATAATTATTATATAATAATAGCACTAATTTTAGTACAAAATTATTATAGAAAATAATAAAGCGCAAATATTATCCCATTGATTTATTAGTATGTGGGTTGGGCGCATTAAATTGACTGTGACGCAAAAAGCAATCAACAGCAAGAACGCAAGTAATGTGCGTGCCATAATTAATTTTTTAAAAACGCTGTCTGCTTTTAAAGACTTATTACGCTTTTAATTGAAAAAAAAAACACAAAATTTGACATACAATTTTTAAACTGCACTGTGTCTAGTTCGAACCAACTTAGAAGATAGGGTAATAAAAACCATTCATAAATAAGAAAAATCTCTTTTAAATGGACGCTCTATTAACTGGACTGAAAGGTTCGTAACCAGACATTGAGAAAGCAGACTTAAATTCGTTATTTTTTCCAATGAAATTTGTTTGTGTGAACATATGCATAGACGCTCTGGATGGAGGGTGAGTAACGTTTACAAAAATCCAACGAAAATCGAAACGTAATTTAGTAATGCTAACCAGCGTGCTCTATTTATGGTTTCTCATTTTTTTGTTCCACCCAAACAAGTGTTATTATTTTGCTCGCTAGTAGTAGCCATTAATGCGCAGCTACATACTCCAAGCAAAACACTACATTATTAAAAGCTATCGACAGCGGTTTATTTATTTTATGCAGATTATGCTTTAATAGCTGCTTAGTTTGTTTACCTCTGAAATTTTAATTTATTTATCGTACACAGTTGTTTTTAATGCAACACTTTAGCGCTTGCTTAGTGCGCCAAGCGTGGCCGCGCACTTTTCCTCAATTGATTTGCACACAATGTGGGCGAAACATTGCTCCGGCGGCAAATTTAACATGCAATTAAAGGGTGTCTATTCTAAATTTAAAAATTATTTCGCATAAAAACAAAAAAATTATTGAAATGAGTAATATTTTGTAGTTTGGAGTTCTAACAGTACTTTAAGCAAATCCGATAGCTCTAAAAAACACCTCATATAGCAGTGCATGTGTTTTATACAAAATCTTATTTGCCGTTAAAAACAGTTTAATTTCCAATAATAATATGCTGAACATAAGTGTCAAAAACACTTACATATGTATGTAATTCCAAACCGATAGCTCTCAAAAAACACCCTCTGCATGTACATATTTGTTATACAACAATGTAATTTCGTTATTATCAAGCACTTTAATTACTACAAATTAGTGCATAAAATTACTAGTTATATTACAATTTCATTAATATTTCACACAAAATCAATTTGTGGCATGTGTACCACTCTGTGCGCTTATCGCCATAACCTATGTCACTTGCGATGACATTCACCAGTGTTTTTGTTTTAAGTTTCAACTATTCATTAATTGCTGGCAAATGTGCAATCACTTTTTTGTGCGCTTAGTTCAGTATTGTGTCAACACTGAGCGCTTATTAGAGCGGTTTTTTGTCGCTTCCCGATCATCAGCGGCACGTGCTACACTGACATTTGTCGCTTACTCGCCACAGCACAATCGGGAATTACTTCTTACCGGCATGAGGGTTCTTTGTCTCAAATACACACATAATAAAATTGCAATAAACGCTGCTCCAAATACAAGCTGTCCGTCCAGTTGGGGCTTTTATACGCTAAGCGACGCGGCCGCGCTGCAGTTTAACGCCTTCGTGTGCTAACATTGTTCTAAAACAAGCATCGGCACAGTTTGGCATTTGTTATTGTTTGCAATTCTTATTGTTGTTGATCATACTTTGTTTGCTCAATTAACCGATCCGCTATTAATTAATAAACGTTCAGCATCTTCGCCCACCCTCCATCCTGTCGAACGCTTTCTCAGCACTCGCCAAACACTCGTGCTACATGGCCGTTGAAATTTCCATTTCGTTTCGACGCTACGATCCGTCTCGAGTGTCGGGCCGATTGCTCATTGCTTAGTGAGCGCATGTGCGTGTGTGTGTGTGTGTAAGCTGAAAAAGTAACTGTGCTTTGGCACCACAAATGTTTCATTTCCAATTGCCGTCGCTCCCCATACACACGCAAACATAAGCACACACACAGTGGCACAGGCACACTCTCGTGCGTCCAGCGTACACAGCATGAGATTCGGCCAGCCGCCGTCCAAAACGCATCGCACTTGTTTCGCCGCTAATATTTAAGCAACTGTCGCCGATCCGAGTGAAGTATAGCGCATTCGACGCGTATCAACGCAACATCACAAGCGCCCACAGCAGCGGTCGATCGGTCAACTTAACTCGGTACGTCAAAAAATCACATAAGTAAAACCAACAAATAAGAAAAATAAAAAAAACTAAGAAGCAAACACAATTTCTCCACGGCGATCTTTGCATTTGCAGTTATTAGCGAATTGTTATAAAAGCTCTGCGGGCACCGACAATTTGGTGCTTGAACGCGACTTGGTAGTAGCAAAAATATAAGCGTTTGCATAGTAAAGCGAAAATATCAATAGGAGCGCCAAAAAAATCTCTAATCAAAGGCCTCTTCAAATAGCTCGGCTCGAATGCGCGTGCGTCTTGCAATAGCTGGTTCAGTGTTGTGTGTGTAAAGTGTTTGAAAACTTCATGTTTTCGTCAAGCAAATACCACAGTAGCAATTATAACAACAACAAAGTGCAATTGTATTGTGATTTTACAAAGACTACACGTAGGACTAAGAAATATAAAAATTCGTTCACATAACGATAGCTTTTCACATTTTGTTCGACACCCAGCGAAAGTGTTCTTGGTAAAATCCAAAACAAAAATTTAACGAAGTTACAGTTAGACTTTATTTTATTGAAATAAAACACAACAAATAATCGCAATAAAGTGCCTTTGCCTACAAATTGAAGGAGCGGCAGATAAGCGTCATAATAATTTCAATAAACAAGCGCAGACCAAAGGTAATTGATGAAAATCACTCACAAACGTGCATAAATGTGAAATTATTTATCAAATAATCACAAGCGAAACGTGACAAATGAATTGCAGAGCGCCGCAGTTCTACTAACAAAAGTTGGACATTTCAAAGTGGCGGGAGGGTGTGGTGTTGTAGAAAATATAGTGTAATTTTTACAGCAGTCTCCAATATTATTTAAAAATGTAATGTCTCTAGCGTATTTAGTTATTAATTTATCGCGCTTTTATTACTTTTCAACAGTATCGTTATATGATGAGTCAGCGAGGTTATCCTCCGATTTCAGCCATTTTCACACTGTTGGCAGATTCGGTTCTTATAAGATTTGTACTCAGCAAATTTGGTTGTTGTAGCTCAAGTGGTTTAGAAGATATGTGCATTAAACTTGTTAGAGTGCGGGACCACGACCAGTTTTTCAAAAAATGTTGCCCCTTTGCTACTGCGATACGCAGTGCCAAATTAAAGATTTATATCTTAATAATAATTATATCTTATAATTTAGTTAATGGTTATTTCTGGTCATGGCAATGGTCCGATTACGCTCATCTACGAACTCAATTTTTTTTTGTACAAAGGAACCCACATACCAAGTTTCAACGAGATATCTCAATTTTTGCTGAATTTGCAGGAGGACGAACAGGCAGACAGTCAACCGATTTTCAATTATTGTCGTCATCCTATTCAATTATATGTATATAACCCTATTCTATCTCGTTTAGTTTTGGTTGATACGTACAACTGTTAGGTGAACAAAACTATAATACTCTTTAGCAGCTGGTTGCAAGAGTATAAAAATATATCTCTTTTACATATTCTTCGATAAAAATTATTTTTTGAATTAATTTATTCATAAGAAATTTAAATTCAATTTTAAACGCGGAAATCGGCTCAATTAATTTTTTTTAAGATTATTAGCTCGTAAAATATTTTTCGTAAAAAAAATATTTTTATATATAGTATGCATAATAATATTGTTAGAATATGACTTTCCATTAAATTGCTTCCCTTTATGCCAGTGCGCAATTTCTTACTATTAAAATAAGCAAATTATTAAGCTTTCAGTGAAGCATTCGTTTCATGCCAAGCAGTTGGACTCGTGTCTTCTGTAAAACGGGAAAGAACAGCAAGCAAAATTTGTATTTTTTAGAAATATTTTCAGTTTAAAGCGTTAAATTCGACACCGTTTTTCATTTTAATGTCAAATTCACAAATTTTATCATGATTCAAAAAAATTGTATAAACTTCTCTGAGAGCTGATAATTATGTATTTCTTCTTTTTAGAAGAAAAATGTCCTAAACCATAATTTAAGCTTCTTTACCATAGTATTCTGATATATAGAACTAGTTCCTTTCTCTCAAATAAAATATTCGAATAGTATGAATTATATTTTTGCGCTCACATACACTGTAAAGCCACAAAGGTAGCACGAAACAAACAAAAATAGGTTTTCCGTCGAATTTCAATTTGTAATATGGAAGTCACACAGTTTTCAAAAAAATCCTTTTAAGCGAGATTTCACTCACACGATTTTTCACAATTTACTCTCATCATTTATTATTTATCGCTAAAATAGGAATCATCAGCTGCAAAGTTATATTTTCATATTTCTATTGTTTACAAACATAAAAGTCAATTGTCAGTTAATGCTTGTGGTTGCCACTTCAAGCAGCTACGCAAAATTCCAGTATCATTTTATTATTCAATTCGTAAATGTCCTCATAAACACTCGTTACAAGCAATTGATTTGTTTGTAGCCATGCGGTATACTATTTAGTAGTACAGAAGCAATTATTGCAATTTATAAGCGCTAATAAAACAGGCATTAACTTATTCAACTTCTAATGCGACTTGCAATATTTTTTGTCTAATTTGTAAACAGTATAATGTGGTGAATTTTGGTGAAACGAGTTTTAAAAGGCAAATAAACCGTACTATTGTTGTTTTTGCTTAACGTTTGCTTTGTTAACCGCAATTTACATGCACACGCATGCATACGCTAGAATGCGCAAATCTCGCATTGCGGTACTCACCTGGCGGTATTGTCATTGAACCTGATTTTGCTAACGCCAACTATTTGGGCAAGCAATTAGCGCCGCTAAAGTCAAACTGCAACTACTTACATACATATGTGCACGTAACAGAAATGCTAGTTGTAGTTTTTGTTGTTCCTTTTTTCAATCTTGCCCATACTCGAAAGCGAAGTCCAAGTAAAGGAGAACAGGAACTTGTCGGCTGCAACTAATTACTTTTATTTTGTTGCTATTTTTATGATGATTACTTGCTGCATTAATATTTAGAAAAAAAAAGCAACTGCTATTGTTTCTGTCACATTTGTCGCATTTTTGCGCGAATGGCGAGCAGTACATTTTGCTTTACGCTTTTTAATTGTTATTTGTTGACATTTGTATTTATTGCTAGAGTTAGAATTGTTGTTGCGCTGCCAGTTGATTTCAAATGTTTACTTCATTATGTAATGCAAGTTTACGCAAGATATTGGCGGGAAGGGGGCATTTTCTATCAGAATAATAGTACAAATGGCCACAGCAATAGCAGCAAAGCCAATTACAATTGTATTGAGAAATATTTGCCAGCTTTCGGCATAAAGCAACAGTTGTGCAATCGAGTTTAGATCGCAGTGCAAGCCGAAATTTATTGTTTTTCTAACACTTGTGCATACTTACTTACATACGTTATATATATTTATGTAAATTTGCATACTGCATTTTAAGATACATACATACATAATAACATAATACACGCATAAATAACAAACTGATCGATTTCCTCGTTAATCAATGACGTTTTTATCGCTGCATTTTCTTATTGCCATAGTTGGCTTCAAGCTGCATACAATAAAAATTAGTTGAAACCTTTGTATTTGCAATCAACTGTGGGATATTCGCTTCCTTGAGTCATTATTTTATGCAAACAACAATCTAAATACACCAGGAATTGAAATGTGTAAACAGCATAACACCCTGTACCACTGAAATTTGTAAATATCAATTTCACCTTGCAGTCATGCCAGTTGACAGCAGGCGCAAAGCAGCGGTAAAAGAAAAATTCAAAACAAACACTTAACGCATAAGGGGCATAACTATGAAAAAAGTAAAATCATGTATAAAATTGTACAAAACATGCATATGACATTTTCAAGTTAAAAAAAATTTGCTTACACCTTTTTGTCTGCTTGTATGCACTTTTTAACTCCTTTGCAAAGTCAAAACAAAGATTGAAACGATGCTTTTACGAAATGCTTTCAAGAAATTGAATTGGTTGCTTAAGGGCTCGATTTTTTCACAAGTGTATGATTTACAAATATACACACATACATATGTAACTAACAAAAGAATAGTTGATACAAATTAACTACTTCCAAGAAAGTACACTACTTCAGCACCAAACAACTCAGACACTCTTATTGATAATACAATATATGTATAATATGTACTTATGTATTCATTTGAGTTATGCCTCGAACAGTCAGACAGAAGAGATGTACTCTAAAATTAAAGAGTATAAATATGTAAAATCTGGCGGTTATTTCAAAACTTGTTGGTTAGGTCAAGTCGTACTCAATATCTTCATAACCCAACAACTCAAACGCGCTTTTTGATGACCAATTGGCAATTGTACAAGTGTATACTTAAGTGATTGTTCTTGTGTTTTCAAAAACGTCATTGGCAGCTGAAGATATTGATGCAACAAATTATTGAATGGCCGCAACTCCACGTAATTAGCAAGCAATTCAGACGCTTTTGTGAGTTTTGATAACGTAAACTTCTAGAATTGACCAAATTTATAAATACTCATGTACAAGTAATACTTTGTATATGAAGATTAAGTTGTGTTTACACTTCGATTAGCAAATACACTTTTTATAGTCAACTATGAGTACGCCATACTCGAATTTGAAGCATTAGCCATAATAACTGCGAAAAGTAATTTCAAGCTATTTTTAATAAGTAAAAACCCTTAAGCTACATGAGTAGGTGTGAGTACTCGTTGGGTAGTTTTCCGATTTATCGCACATTTATATAACGCTGGCGTGTTGATTTATAACCCTTATTGTCGCAGCAACAATAAACGCAAACGGCACCTTCAAGTGCCTTACTTACACAGTATATACAGCAGTGAAGTGACTTTGAGCCAACAAAAAATATTTATAAGCATTTTTAATGCAGCTGAAAATGCAAAGTAATCATAAATGGGACTTATTTGTAAATACTGAAATACACATTTTTTCAGTAAGTTTTCACACTTTACACGCTAAATTGTTAAATGTCACGCACTAAGGTTATGTGGCGTTGTTTTTCGCTTTTACTGCCTTTTCTGCTTTTGATAAGTCAGTTGTGTGGCAAAGAAAATACGATTTATCAAGCGCCAGCTTCATACGAGCATTGTTTTTATAATATTTTAAATATTTTTCAATTATACACCAGCAATGCATTGACATACTTTCGCTCGACATACAAACAAACGTGCGATATTTACATTTCACAGCTGATTTTGCTAAACACAGCATGCGCTGAGCCTACATTATTAAGTACATATGTATGTATGTGTGCGTACGTGTGTTATCGGCAATTTAGCGCTTTCCTAGTCTGCATTTAAATATATAAACCTATTGTGTATAAATATATAAAATAATAATATTTGCCCACATGTATTGGTGTATTTATACAAAAATAAAAAAACAAGTTCTAGCAGCAGCTGCAGTCACTGAAGATACACACACACTCATGCTAAGCCACATTTGCGGTAATACATAGATGTTGTTGAACCTCGCTGATAACGCGTTCGTCGCGAACCCAAGCTGGTTAATATTATAATCAATAAAAACAAAGCGCGATCTCTTTTCTGCGTATATTTAAAGCAAAGAACAGCAGTGATGCGCACAGCACAATACAAATTAAATAAAAATAGTAAAAATTAATAAAGATTATACATTTAGGCAA